CTGTGCAAAATTCTGGGAGCCCAAGATGGAGAAGATGTTCTCCATGCCCTCCAGGAATGTATATTCTAGTAGTAGGAAGATTCATATATAAATAAGTGCAATAAAATGTGACCTTTTTTAACCATAGGGTACTACTACCCTAACATTACTGTGTGGAATTCACTTGGGAACTTGTGAAGTAGTGGATGTGTAGAAGTGTTTCCCATTTGAGGAGGGTTCTCCCAGTACTGATGCAGCGGTGGGTCGCTGCGCAGTAACACAGGCTGAGGGCTCTCTCCTGTGGGGAAGAAACTGGGCTGGATGCTGAGACTCACCAAGCTGGTAACGCGTGTGCTGCCCTCAGCATGGAACCCAAGAGGGAAGACACACCAACTTGCTGTGGTGTAGCAGATCAGCAGGCGCGGAAGGGACGCTGGGAGTGCAGCGTCAGCACGGGGTGGGGGCACTTAGTTGTTGGGCGGGGTCAGTGGGTGTATAGGGATGAGGAGACCTGTGTAGATAGAGGTGACATTGGACATGAGACTCGTAAGGATAAACAGGATGTTTCAAATAGAAGCACATCAGAGGCACAGAGAATGTTAAGAGAATGGCATATGTGGCCAGAGATTAGGAAGTACAACGTGACCCACGCTGAGGCAGCGAAAACATTTGGGGGCCCTGTTGTGAAGGGACTTGGATGCTATTCAAAAGGAGTCAGGAAGTGATACTGTTTTAAGCTGGGTAATGACGTGGTATCTGCTTTAGAAATCTGGAAGGCCAATTTGGAGATGGTTATAATCTTGCAAACGAGATCATGAAGCCCTGAAGGAGCACAGAAGGAGAAATGAGAGGTACTGCAGAGAGAGTGAAAATGAGAGCACGGGGTTGGAGGCATTGAAGCTGGCCAACCGAGGGTTTTATCAGGGGCAGCTAAGTGGGTGGTCAGCTCTGAAGGAAGCAGGGCGGAGTGAGGAGCTGGTTTTCAGACATAATAAAAACTGAAGCTCCGCATCTTAAGTGTGAAGATAACTAGCAGGTAGTTGGAGCTGTAGTTCTCGATGAAGGTGAGAGGTCGAATGTTTTAAATTATAGGGAGATACAAAGCAGCTCGTAAGAATTGAAGCCCTAGGACTGAGTTACTGGGAAAGTGAAGAGGAAGACGAGGAGGCTTGTCACAGAACCTCCAGAATTGCTCTTAATTAGGGGGCAACAAGAGGAGATAAGGAGCTTCAGATATTGAAGATAGATATTTGGGGAGATAGCTTTAAGAATGAGGATGTAGTTAACAAAGATGATCAAGCAGAAGGATGACGGGTGGTGTCACCTGTGACTGCAGAGGGTCAGGATTAGAAAGATGATGTGGGGGCCACTGGTACTGTGTTTTCAGAGAGAGAGGAAGTACTAACCTAAGAAGAAATCAGTTTGAGGGAGGGGCTGAGCCCTCCCATGTAGCATCTGGTCCAGAATGCGGGGGATAAGCTGTGTGTGGGGTGAGAGAAGGATGAGAGAGAAGAGACAAGTTGAAGAGCGCAGATGGGAGGGACTGTGATGAGCACGGGCGGTGGGGTGAGTCTCACCAGGGGAGCGCTTCCTTTCTGGGAGGCAGTAGGATGGAAGGACAGAGTACGTGAAGGTAACGCCGCTTGAGATGGATAAGAGGAAGATTGTAGAAGGGACACACACATTCTTGGTTCTTTTCTTCCCTCCCCTCTCCTGCCTTGGACTCCTGTGCAGTAGGGGATAGATGTATAAAAATCTGCTAAAAAAGGAGGAGGAGGTAGGGTTTAGGGTATTTTGAAAAATGGAAGAGACATGTAGTTTCTTAGAGGAATGTGGGGACTTTGAAGGACAGAATTGAGAGTTTGGAAAACAGCTTTTAGTGAAACCAGTGGTTTGAGTTATTTGATTTTCTCTGATGTTGCTGAGACACTTGGATATTAAAGTAGCAGAAAGAAGTGGTTGGGAAATGCCAAAACAAGAGAAGATGGAGGAGGTGGAAGGCATTGCTTACAGCCAGTGGGTTGTCGGGCTCCACCCTGAGTTTCACATCCAGAGAAATTGCATCTCTAACAAGTTCCCCAGGTACTACTGACGCTGCTGGTCCAGACTCAGACTTGGAGAACTCCTGACTTAGAGTCCGTTAGAAAAGATTAGTCACGGGTTGCAGGCCAGAGAGGGAGAAAAAGAGAATCCAGGAAGGGGCTGAAAGACAGAATAAATATGGGGGTGTCAGGGCGTGGGGTTCCAGATGCAGACAGGGCAGGTTCACTGGCTGTGTACACTTGGGATACGTGTGGCAGGACAGAAACTTGCATCTGGAAAGAATTCCAGAGTGTGAAGGTTCGGAAATGGAGCGTCTGGCGGTGCCCGTCACAGGGCCTAGTGCAGGCACCCTCAGACTTGCAGTCTCCAAGAGTAGGGTCTCTGCCTAAGTGCAGTTCGGTGTCCTGCTTCCTTCTGTGAGAGGGTCTTGTTCGCCTTTCTCGTTTCTCCTCCCCTAAAATAAATCAGCCAAACAAAACTGCGCAGTCATGTAATTGATTCGCGTTCCGGCACAACAAGCTCCATACATGAATGGGCCTGTTTGTGGACCAAACTGGTACCCAGGCCACACTGGGAGTGGCACTGGCCTAGGCCATAGACTATCAAGGTGGAGTTAGAGGTCCCTGAACAGGAAGGGTGAAGGATGAAGGAAGGTGAGTCCAAGGTGTTGTTTGGGACCATATGGTCCCGAACAGATTTACAGGAAAGGGTAATTTCTGGAGACTGGTAGCTGGTCCTGGGACCAGAATGGAACGAGGACAGGGCCATGTGGCTTAGGGTGAGAGGCTCTGAAAGTGCTTGAGTGGAGATCTCAAGCTACCTCTGAGCACAAGGAAATGTGTCATCCTGTTAGGTTCTTAAATGGGTTGAGAGACTTTGAGACGGAACAGTCTTTATTTAACATGGACATCAGTGACAGTCTCATTGGTCTTTGTGTGTGTAATCTTTTGGGGCACATTATGTGTGGGCATTTTTAAAAATTTAGATGTATAAACTTTATTCCATTTTTGCTAATGATAAAAATAGTCTATCTAAGGCAAAAATTTATTGTATATATCTGATGGAGTGATAAGTTGAAGCCTACAGACAATTGTGATTCAGAAATAGCTCATTCAATTTATTGAAGTAATAGTACTTTAAAAAATTTATTATTCAATTACAGTTGTACAGTTTTCTATTCGTGTCCGGTGCACAACATGGTGATTAGATACTTACATTGGTTTGGCCAAAAAGTCCATTTAGTTTTTTCTGTAAAAGACACATTTTTTCCAATTTGATTGCTATCAACTTCAGTGGGTCTACCCGACCATGGAGCACAGTCCAGTGAGAGATCTCCAGTATGAAACTTCGCAAACCACTTTTGACACATTTGATCAGTCACAGCACCTCTTTCCTTGTGTTTCAGTTGTGTTTTTACCTTACGTGAAATAATAACGGATAGTGTGCTGAAAATGTGTGTTTTCTTCCATCTTCAATATTAAAATGGCTACACAAAAATTCACCAATTTTGATATTGTTTTTAAATGCATGCTGTTGTGACAGCTGTCATAATACAGTCAAACAAAATTGTTTTGAATGAAGTGAAAGACAACTAAGTGCTACTAGAGCCACCTTATGGGAAAACCCAAGTGAACATTTTGGCCAGCCCCAAATACTTTATCAGGTAGTCCCGCCGGTAAGTCTGGTTCCCACCTGGCGCTCTGCCTGGTTATCACACTGTTGGTGACTGCGTCCCCTGTGCTGTGCTTCCCGTTTGCATGACTGTCTTTCTAACCGGCGTCTCGTACCTCTTCATCCCTTCGCGTTTTCCACGCAGTCCCCCAGCCACCCTTGCCCCCCTCCGGTGACCGTCAGTTTGTCCTCTGTATCTGCGAGTGTGTTTCCACTTTGGGTAGTGGGTGTTTTTAAAGTCTCATGTCAACAAAGGCTCCAGAGGAACGACATTTCACTCGGTGGTGGGTGTGGTCAAGCGGTCCACCAATGGAAGGCTCATCTTCAGGACTTGTGCTGGGTATGGGAGGAGATGCTGGTTAACTGAAAATGTTACAGGATACGCTAGATAAGCCATTGTTAGGGCAAACTTTTCTTGTAAGAAGCATATATTAGAGCACTTAAACTTATTTTTCTGTAGTACTTACTTTCACAAGCTAAACCTCAATTATTTAAGTCTAAGCATCTTTCCATAAATATATGATAAATACTACCTGATTGGTAATTCCATGAAAGTTTTAAATATGATTTTCTGAAGTATCTTTAGTAAATAAAAAAGTTTCCCTTGGAAAGTAAAATCATTCTCATATGAAACTTCCTTCCCATGTTTGATATTCAACTTAGTACCCCCGGTAGTGGACGACTAGGAGAGGTGGTTGGGTGAAGGTGTCGAGCTACGGCAGGGGGAGGAAGAGAGGAGAGGCAGAGATTGAGTCACGAGATGGCTTAACCACTTGCAGACTCTGACCTTGGCTGAGTCAGTGAGCCCAGGCCTCTGTTTCTCTCCTTTAAAACAGGGAAGCAGTGTTATTTGATAGAGTTGTTATAAGGATTAAATGAGCTTTCTCAGAGTGTCAGCCCAGGGTCTGTCACGTAATTTCTAACTATTACCATTTACATTACTGTCGTTAGCAAGAGAAAGTATAGTCCTTAGAGTCACAAAAGCCTGGACTTACTTTATTTTTCTTAGTCCAAGAAGTTATATGCCCTTGGATAAGCCATCAATGTCTCTGAGTTGCCCTCTCGTCAGTGAATGGTTTGGTGCCAGCTGTCATGTAGTGTCCTCATGGGAATCAAGTGGTCTGAGTGTGTGATGTGTGTGGTGTGGCCCTGAGTCAGTGGTCTGAGTGTGTAACGTGTGTGGTGTGGCCCTGAGTCAAGTGGTCTGAGTGTGTGATGTGTGTTGTGGTCCTGAGACATAGTCTTTGCTAGCAAATTCTTGTTCGCCTTTCTCTCCCGCTGTTAAGTTTCGGGTTTTCTCTCTGTAGTCGGGCCTTGAGAAGCGCATCGACCAGGCTGTGGACGAGGGGGACGTGGAGAAGGCTGAGGAGCTCAGCAACCAGCTGGCCACCCGAGAGGTGAGTGGGACCGATGGCACGTTTTCTGTGTTTCCAAGTTTTCTAAAATGAACGTACATTCCTTTTGTGATCATAAGTAAGTTCAGTATTCAGATATTTGATCTAAGATTTTTCTTTCAGTCTGTTTTCTTCTCTCGTGTTCTGCCATTTATTTAAAAACATTTTTGTTTCTAAATTAAGTTTAAAACGTACAGTGGAAATAATCCATGATTGATATTCCGCCCTAGATTTTACATAATTCAGAGAGCTTTTTTGCCCGTTATGATTAAAAGGCCAGCTTTGTCTTCCTATTTGCATCTTTAACTCAGTTTAACTCGCCCTCAGGGCACAGCGCCTTTCTAACTCTTGCTCCCAAAATGTTTTTTTACTTCATATTCCGCCTATTTTCCTCAGCCTTAAAGAATGTTCAGACCTTCTTTTTTTTAACCTATAGTTTATAGAGTAAAACTAATAGATACATGATATGTTCTGTATTTTTTTCCCAAGTACATAGACTTCTGGAAGATTCTGTCTCGCCCCTTTCCGAGGGGAATGTCCCTCTAATTGGGGCTCAGTGCTGCTTGTCACTTGGCAAGGTCCTATGTAAAGAGCTTGTACTGGCATCTGTTTTGTTGTAGCTGCTGTTGTTTGTGATTCTTTTGTGTTTTTTCTAGGACAAAAGTTCTACCATAACTTTCACTTTCAGCATGTCTCTGCCTTCTGCATTTTATTCTTAAGCTGTAACTACTCTGTGGGGTTTGATTTCAGGGAAATATCATCTGTACAAACTGTTGGCTGTATGTACTTACTATACTTTCTTACTCACCAGAATTTTTTTCTGAGACTAGTGGTGAAATTACAGTCTCAATAAATTTCTCTGTGGAATTACTATTTCGCTCTTACATCATCAGATGTCAAAAATCCACCCTGATGACTGTTTATGGCTTCTGGCTGTAAGAATCCTGTGAAGTTAACGTTTTTATGTGGGAAAAACAAGTCCGGAAGTGAGGCTTAGGGATTCGGAAGTTGTCTTTTTTTCCTGAAGCTTCAGTGATGCCCTGGGGGGAGACGGGGTCACCAGCGGCCTCACGTCCAGCGGCAGTGGCACGTTAGCTCCGCCTCGTCGGCCGCACCCTTGTTCACCGAGGAGCCTTTCTCCTCCTGCCCCTTCGAGCTGCTTGTGATAAAGAGCAGGCGTGGTGCCCGACAGGCCTCAGAAGTGCGAGTTTCCTTGGAGGGTGTTCGGTTTTGGTGTTGCATTTTTTGTCATGCTGCTGTTTTAGAAGTGGAAATTGTGTAACACAGACTAGTGTCCTTTTAAGGGTAATTATCTGTCACACCTTATAACAAATGAGATTGCTCTAGAAATACATGGTATTTTCAGCATTTGTAAGGATAGTGAACATTTTTCTCAAACGTTCTTTTTACTTCCATACAAAAGTAATGCTTTGTTCTAGTAGAACAAATTAAATTTATTTAGTGTGGGGTTAAAGAATTCTGATGAAAAGAGAAACAGTCATTTGGGTCCTATTCTTGTCTTTGTGGAAGTGGAAAAACATCTGGAAAGGGTTTGCTGTTCAGACACAGGCCCTGGAAGGACACTGGTGCCGTGTTAACTGGGTGCCCGGGAGGAGTCACTAAGGGGATGGAGATGGAGTTTCCTGAACAAATAGTTCAGTTTGAGATTGAAGTTTGCATGTTTATCCCTTCGGTGTCACACGCCGTGGAGATGAGATGGGATTTGGAGAAGTACGTAATTGCGCGTTTGGGGCAGAAACCCTTTATAAAAATGAAATGTATACTGCATGGCAGGTGTCCTTTTGGACTCAGGTATATAGGTTTTTAGTCAGGAGCATTTTCTCTTTTCAAGAAGCAGTGACTGGGACCAGCTGATAAAGCCTTTGCTCAGAGGCACAGACCCCGGAGTTCTTAAAGCCTTTTCTAACCATAATAAGTGAAACTAATTTTTGATGTTTAACATTTATAAGTCTTTGAAACCAATAGGGCAGAATCAGTATGGAGAAAAATGGTGCCAGGAGTAGAACCATGTTTCAAGATGGTCCTTGAAAACAGTTCCTCAGAAATAAGCCAAAATAAGACTGTCAGTCCGCTACCGCGGGACGCAGCCAGTGCGTGTTTTCCCAGAGTCACGTTCCCTGAAATGGACGAGGACATTAAGGATGTATGCAATCTGGTTTGGGGCGGCGGCGGCTCAAGTTCACGTGGTTGAAGCCTGGATTGTGCTGTTATCTTTGGTTTTACCCACTTAGTAAAGTGGTTGCTTTGAAACTCCCTCTGGTTGATTAAACACTTCTTTGTTGTTAATCGGAGGAGAGATGAAGTGAAAAATATACTTGGGTTTGTATCATATTGATGAAACTGCTTAACAAGTTGTTTTTTAAAAGATACTGTTGCTCTTATACACATAACACTCACACACAAAAGTATTTGAGCATGTCTGTGGCTTATTCCCCTCAGGCCTGAATTGGAGTACATTCCATTCATTGATAGCAATCTGTCTTCCTCTGGTACTTTTTATAATTTGCAGCATATTAATATTCACATCCGAGATACTGTGGTTATAATTTGCTGCCATCTTCGCCAAGGCCAAAACCCCTCAGTTTGAGCAGTGATAGAAAATGTTTTATATTTTAAAGCTTTTTGCCTGAGTTAATGAATGCAGGCCAAGGCAGTGACTTCCACTGCTAGTGCTGCTGGGCATGGTGTTTTTTTAAAACCTAATTTAAGGTCTCACAAGTATAAATGATTTTTAAAAATTCCATGTTAATATTACCTTTTTGTGGGTATAAAAAATACTGCATTGGCAGTACGAATTAAACTAAGAATTTTAATTTTTATTAAGTTTATTAATAGACTACACAAATGTTTGGATTCCAAACCATATGTAAAGTCAATAATGTTGAAAAAATAATAATTTGTTGCTACTTAAATAACAAAGGTAGGAATGGTTTTGTAAAAAGAAAAAAATACTGTCTGAATTGATTGAGTTATATTCTTAGCTAAATTAAGTGCTGTCTAAATCTGGGCAGGTTATTAATTTGTAGCATAAACTCTGTTTGTAAACCAGTTTCCTAGAAAATCTGAAGGTGTTCTCATTGAAGCGGGGCGTGTGCACATCTGAAGAGGTAGTTTCTGCATTTTATGTCAACACCTGAGAAGTGGTCCTTCATCAGAAGTGCTGTGGGTGCCGGAGCCCTGACCCAGCACCCAGAGTTTTCCCAGTGCAGTTCGCTGTTGGCCTTTAGTTTCCCTGAGGATTCTGGCTACAGTTTGCCCTTTTTATTTTATTTTGGTGGTTTGTTTTACATTGATGTACATGCCATGCTGTCTTGATGGAGTGGCATACTTTCCTCCCCCGCGAAATCCTTTCCAAATAATACAATTTTGACATGTTTAGCTGTCAGAGTACCCGGAGCACGATCATATCTAGAGTTCAGAATTGGAACATTTGTTTACATTTTTGGAGTAGAGATGCTGCCAAACTTGGTGAGTTAGGAGCCACTGTCCTCAGGGCTGTTGCAGAGCTCGTCCCGCAGGAGAGGTGTTTGCATCACACACGGAAGGAGCTGAACGGAACGACACCTACAGGGAAGGAAGTCTGGTGGCTCTAAACCTTCACTCTGTAATCCAGGGAGCAGAATTGTCTTCTTCCGTTTCCATGGATACTCTTCAGGTAGAAATGTCTTACCCACCATGTTTCCAAGGTGAAACAGTTTGGATGTGAAGCTGAACACATACTCCTTTTGGCTATTGTAAGAATTTATCAGCAGAACCTGTGGCTTTGCGAAGGATGGCAGGTACTTCTCATTTTCTTAATTATGATATCTAGCCACTGGAGACTGTGTAAGCAAAGCAAAAGTGCATTAAATATTACTCATTTTTATATGTTAAAAATGTAAAATTTCTCCATTTAAACATTTTATTTTTCTAGAAATGAGATTACTTTGTTAATCTGTACCAATAATGAAGAATACGTTCTTTCATACAAAGTCATGTAATGCCTGCAAACTCGGGCAAAATACATTTTATGTCTTTTGAAATTTTATTACTCTATCCTTTACTTTTTCTTTATTTTTTTCTTTCCAGTTAGTATTGTTTAGGACCATTTTCTTTGTGGTACATTTCACTGGTTACCAATGGGAAAGAATGCAGGGAACTGGAGGGAGAAGAGCCTCATTCATTCGATAGGTTTCTGCTCGTCAGCAGGGTGATCAGCTCCCTGGGCCAGTGGGCACTCTCTCCTACTAGTAGAGGGTATGTGTCTGTCAAGGGGCACCTGGAATGGACACACTTTCAGTGTAACTGGTCATTCCTTAGTGGCTTCTTACTTTAAACGCTCCTCTGTGTATGGTTTTGTATCCTGCACGTAGTCCAGTTAGTTCATGTAGGTGAGCAGTTAGAACAGTGTATGGAAAATAAGCTGTTCCTTTGCAGGTAAGGGACGGCGTCATTGAATTCCTTTACATTGAGGTTCAAGATAGGTTCCTTCCCATAGAAAATTGTGTGCAGCCTTGCAGCTGGGGCATTTTAATATAAGAACAATAAGAATGGCACCAGGTGGTAGGCTTTTCTCGCAGGTTTTTAGGTGGGCTTGGTTCGCTCTGATGGCGTTGAGGATGTTTTCTTTTAACCTTTGGGCTCTGAGTGGGTGATCACCTAGAATGGCGTTCCTTATGCTCTGTTCTAATTACGTTTGTCTGTGCTTTTAACAAACCTTAAAAAAAGATTTCAGATGTTACAAGTCTAATTAAAGAGACAGACAAAGCGTAGTTTATACTGTAGATTTTTTCTGCAGTTCAATTAATCAGCATGTTTTCTCTTTTAATTAAAACCATTTTAGTAAATTAAAGCCCACAGCAAAACACATATATAATTTGTTTGTAATTAGCTCTTAATTGGTGGTAGTTGAAGCTTAGCACCCTCGGTTTCTTTCTTCATGATTGCCATTTTATTAGCAGCCAGTCATTAATTAATCTTTTTCTAATTAGCTTATAAAACTG